GGCAGGCAGGTGTAGGTGAGGGGCTGCAGCCGAGGCCACACGCCCTCCCCCGGGGGCAGGCAGACGTAGGCGTACATGGCCTGAACCTCAGGCGGCGAGCATTTTTACAGGATCCAGACCTGCGGTGGATGGGTGGATAGATACTTAGTTCTTAACCACCACATGCTGTGCGCCCCTGGCCCTGGTTCATGGCCTGGGTCTTGCGTTACTGTCTGATGGCTTTGAGAAAACTTTCCTGAGTCTGGCTCAGCTCTCCACCTCCTCATCTGTTATTTCAGGGCTGGGGATGTAGGTCTGTTAATAGAGTGCTTAACATGCACAAAGCTGTGGTGATATCTTGCTTATACAAATAAAGCCTGTCGCCGGGCGGGCGTTGGTGGCGCACGCCTTTAATCCCAGCACTCGGGAGGCAGAGGCAGGCAGATCGCTGTGAGTTCAAGCCCAGCCTGGTGTACAAGAGCTAGTTCCAGGACAGCCTCCAAAGCTACACAGAGAAACCCTGTCTCCAAAACAAAACAAACAAACAAACAAAACAAAGCCTGTCTGGGGTCAGAGAACGGAGCTTGCCACCAGCTATTGTACAAGCAAGATATCACCACCCAAAGCCCAGGGTTCCATCCCACCACATACTAGAGTACAGGCAGGAAGACCAGGAATTCAGGGTCGTAGTGTTTGAGAAGTCTAGGCTACAAGAGACCCTGTCTCAAACCCTGTCTCAAGCAAACAACCCCTCTGGCCTTTTGAGTCCTCAGCCCCTGATATGATTTCCCCTTTAACTTGCCTCTTTCAGTGGGTTATTCTCCAGAGCCAGAACAGTCCAGCTTCTCTGCACCGCTTTTCAGTCCTGTTTCCTTCCATGCCTGCAGCAGCCACACCTCTTTGTTACTAGGCAAAGAGAAACACCTTGAGGTGGCTAGGAGCCAGCCAAGTCTGCAGACCGAGAAGAAACCTAGTGACCCCAAGCTCACAGCAATGGCCTTAGCTCACAGACACACTCCTCAGAGCATTGAGTACTTCCACCTTCCCCCTTTTATTTATGTTATGTGCATTGGTGTGAAGGTGTCAGATCCCCTGGAACTGGAGTTACAGACACTTGTGAGCTGCCATGTGGGTGCTGGGAATTGAACCTGGCTCCTCTGGAAGAGCAGGCAGTGCTCTTAACCTTTGAGCCATCTCTCCAGTCCCCACTTCCTGTAGGGAGTAAGAGACCTGCTCCAGCCCCTACCCAGGGTTCTAAAGGTGAAATATTTCTCAGGAGCGAAGGAGGGGGTGAAAGATTTCTATAGTAACTTCACACACACTCTGAGGGTCCTGCTCTTTATTTCCTGTGCTCTTTATTGTTCTATTTCTACTCTAATCCTGTCCTGCTTCTAACTTCTCCATGCTTCTTCTGTTCTAAAAACTCTTCTCCTTCAGGACCCTTGAGGTGATAAGGAAGTTTCTCTCGCTGGTCTACAGCACATACCTAGAGGAAGTGATAAGGAACTGAGCTGTTTACCATAACAACACAAGGGTCCAAGGCCACAGGAGCAAAACCATGACCAGACAGGAGAGGGGACAGTGCCCAATGACAACTCTAAGACACAGATCTTTTGTTAGTAGACTGGCAAATGAAGAATAGGCATGCTTTAAGGTTAATGTGAGGACTTTCCTATCTGCTGGCAGAGAGAATCCAGGACCCTCTTGTTCTCCAGCTCTGAGGGCTATGGCTCAACAACTTTACTCATGCCGTAATTTTTGTCCTTGGGCATCTGTGAATGTTTTAATTGAGGTCTCTTTGCCCGGACACTAACACTGACCAACTGTCTGCCAAGGAAGATACCTGCAGGGGACAGGCTTCTAAGTTTATACGAAGACCTAGTTGAGAGAGTAAGACTTTTTTGCCAGAATCACACATTGCTGGAGGGAGTCATCCAATATTCCAATGCATAGGGGAAATGTGCCCAGTAATTGGTTAATACACTGCTGGGGTTTATGGGATGAATCCCACCATAGAAAGGGAGTGCTGTGATTCACAGGGAGTTAACGGTAAGGACCGTGACTATTCATAAAGCAAATACTCCCACTGCCCTGTGTGTGGGCCTCCTCCATCGGATGATCCTGGTGGGTTAGCTCTGTGATTTTGTTAGCTGAGCTCTCGCTGCATAATTCTGTAGTCCGTAGCAACTTCCATCCCTTTATAATAAAGTCCGGCACCTACATGGTGGTTAACAGCCACCTGCAACTCCAGGTTTAGGGCATCTGGCCTCTAAGGATTCCTACATGTATTTATTGCACAGATTCTTGCAAGCAAACTTACAAATAAAATGATAAATTTTAAGAGAGTGTTCTGATTTACATATGAACCCAGTGTAACTATCAGGACTTCAAACATTGAAGAGGGAGGCCAGAGTCATACTGATGCCATGGTCAGAGAAGACTTTATCCACGAGAAAGGGTGACACAAGAGATTCGACTCCAAAAGCCTGCAGAATGGAACAGAGACGAGCCAACACCTTCCTTTTAGTCACTGGGACCCATTTCAGACTTTCAACTTTCGTAGTTGTTACATTTGTCTTGTTCTAAGCCATTTCATTTTCAGTTTCTCACAACACCAAAAGGACTCCTATTTATATAACTTATAATATATCTTTGTCCCCCTGCAACAAGCACCTGAGGACTATCCAGGGTTACCCATGGGTGGATCTCACCACAGCCTAGATGTGAGTGACAGGTCACATGGATGGGTCAGCTTTTCTACCTGTTTGTGCTTCCTCAGGGATATCTCGTCTCACCTGGTTGGTGAACGGATACATGTCAGCAAGCTCAAGCTGAGGCTGAGAAGGGAAGAACCTGCATTTTGTTATTGGTGCCTGCATCCTTACCTGCGTGCTTTGCTGGGCTGGGAGTGTTTAGGCACAATGAGGGGATTAGGGATCAAGCTGTAAGTCAGTGTTTATTCACCCCAATTCTCATATTTGGGGAATGCTACACTTTCTTATCTTAAAAATATTTATCCATTTGGGGCTGGAGAGATGACATAGAGGTTAAGAGCACTGACTGCTCTTCCAGAGGTCCTGAGTTCAATTCCCAGCACCCACATGGTGGCTCACAACCACCTGTAGTGACATCTGATGCCCTCTTCTGACCTGCAGGAATATATGTAGACAGAACACTGTATACATAATAAATAAATCTTTTAAAATATTCATTTAATTTTATACATGTGTGTGTGCCTGAGTATATGTCTGTGTATCATGTGTATGCAAGAGCCCATGGAGGGCTGAAGAAGGGCTGGAGTTACTATGGATGGTTGTAAGCTGTCATGTAGGTTCTGGGAACTGAATAGGCAGTGCTCTTAATCTCTGAGCTATCTCTCCAGCCCCTTTCCCCCTTTTTGCAGCAGGTTCCAGCTGTGCAATTCTGGTTAGCCCAGGGGCTCAGTCACTGAATGTGGAGTCAGAAGAAATGAAGGCAAGAGGCAGAAAGAACTTGCATTTTGATTATGGTAAATGAGTCATGGTGGTACAGTTAACCCAGACCAATAAACTCCTTTTTTGTTTAAGCTGGTTTGAATGTTGCATCATGTTCTCTCTCCCCAACCCGGTGATACACACTTGGTATTTCCTCTCAGCATCTTGTGAGGCATTTGGAAATATAGCTTCCTTAGTAGATTTTGGTCAGGGAAACTTGTGATCCAAGCCTCACTGATGAGCAAAGTAGAAGCCCTGAGAAAAATGCCCTAAGAAACAAGAATGAAGAGCTCTTAGACAACGGAACATGGTAGAGCCTAGAACAAGGAGGGGGAAGGCCTGGGAGAGAATCTCAAGGATGCTTCTGTGTGCTCCAGGAATGAAGGAGTCTGGCAGAGGATTTTGCCTCCAGCGTCATAGCAACTTATAGCATTGCCACATTGCCTCCATCATCCAGATGCTGAGGGGCCCCGAGTGTAACCATGGGACAGAAAGCCCATCAGGAAGGGCCCATGGTCTTTCCTGTTGGGTCACTTTTCAAAGCTGTTCTTGAGAGCCCTCCCCACTCCACCATTTTATTCCCAAGGATGATTAAGGAAAGACTCAAGGTTTGCTTTGAAGTGAAAGTTTACACTGTCCAGACATAGGAAGTCAGGAAAAAAACCTGTAACATTTACAATGGGTCAAACGCTAGATTTTGGTCCTCTTCTGACAACCAGGAAAACGTCCATGGAGATAAGGGGTAAGAATGGGAGAGAAATGATCATTCTCTGATGAGGAGAGCACTTTGGAGCAGCAAGGGTTTTAGCAACTTTAAATTTAGAAGGGATAAATGTGTGTGGCTTAGGCAAGGTGAATAGATTGAACTTGACTTGACTGCAGCCATCTTGAATTGTAGCTGTGATGATTGTCCTGCAAAGATTTTCCTGAATCGTTTTCCAGCATGCAACACACCACACACACACACACAAGCAAAACAAAATAAAACAAAACACAGAGACAGATATTGGGGTTCAAACTAAAGATCAGAGAAGCAAAGCAGCCAACCACTAGAGAACTCTTATCTCTACCAAGCCTGGGGCGATCCTGTGTCCACAAATCCTCAGCATGGCCCTGCTCCTGTTTTATATACCTCTCTAGTGCTGGGATTACAGGCATGGGATCCCAAGTGCTGAGATCACCTTTGTGTGAGCTGTTTCTCTTTTTAGACTGATTCACTCTCATATAGGCCAAGGTGACCTTAAGCTCACAGAGATCCATCTGCTTTAGTCTCCTGAATCCTGGAATTAAAGGCATGCACCATCACCACTGCCCAGCTTCTATGGCTAACTAGTGTGGCTGCTGGGATTAAAGGTGTGTACCACCACTACCTGGCCTCTATGGCTGTGATTAGCTTTGCATTCTGATCTCCAGGCAAGCTTCATTTGATCATAAACAATACCACACCAGCACATTAGAAACAGATGAACCATTAGAATGGCATGCCGAGCTTTACAAGCAGACCTTGGTGCCAGCAGTGTGCTGGACTCTGACACTAGCTGAAGATAAAGTGTGGGTTGGGGTGGGGGTGGTAGTGCTGGAGAATCGGCTCAGTGGTTTAAAAAAAACATTTGCTCTGGTAAAGGACACAAGTCCAACTTCTAACACCAACATGGTGGCTCACAACTGTCTGTAACTGCAGTCCCAAGAGATCTGACACTCCGTTCTGTCTTCTATGGGCATTAGACATGAACATAGGACACAAACATACATGCAAGTAAAACATTCATACAATAATAAATCGAAAGAAATATTTTTAAAGATAGATCTGGGCATGGTGGTACATGCCTTTAACCCCAGAACTCTGCGGGCAGAGGCAGGCAGATCTCTGAATTCAAGACCAGCAAGGTTGGTGATGGAGAGATGACTCAGAGGTTAAGAGCATTGATTGTTCTTCCAGAGGTCCTGAGTTCAATTCTCAGCAACCACATGGTAGCTCACAACCATCTATAATGAGATCTGGTGCCCTCTTCTGGTCTGCAGCCTTATATGCGGGCAGGACATTCTATATGAAATAAAATAAATAAATAAATAAATAAATAAATAAATAAATAAACCAGCCAGGTTTTCAGAGCAAGGTCCAGGAAAGCTAAGGCTACAAAGAGAAACCCTGTCTCAAAGAAAAAAAGGGGGGGTATATAAAGCAGGGACTGTTATAGAATATTATTTTAAGGTGTGTTATATTTCTTTATGCTCTGGAACATTTGTTTAATGATGTAAAGATGTGTTGCTTTTGTTTATACTTTATTTGTTTAACTCTCTGAAGCTATGATTCTTTGTCTGTCTAAAACACCCGATGTTCTAATAAAGAGTTTAACGGTCAATAGCAAGGCAAGAGAAAGGATAGGCAGGGCTAGCAGGCAGAGAAAATAAATTGAAGGAGAAAGAAGGGGGAGAAGAACAAAAGAGCAGAAGGAAGGAGCAGACAACAAGGAGAGGAGGAGTCTAGGCCCGCCACCTAGCCCCCCAGCCCCCCAGCCAGCCACGGAGTGAGAGTGAAAGTAAGGCGTACAGAAATAAGAAAAGAGAAAAGCCCAGGGGTGAAAGGTAGACGGGTTAAGTTTAGAAAAGCTGGCCAAGAAACAAGCCAAGCTAAAACCAGGCATTCATAAGTAAAAATAAAACACTGTACCATTTATTTGGGAGTTGGGTGGTTCCCCTAAAAGAGTAAACAGTAATAAAAAACACCAAAGGGCATTCTGGCTAGGATGAAGTTTCTTTTCTCCTAATGTTCAAGCCTCCCTCTGACTCACATTGGAGGGACCCAGTGGTCTTGGTGTCACCCCTATGTCAGTAGGTTCTGGAATGCATTTCACTCAGCAATCCTGTGTCGTGTGTCTTTCTTCCATCAGATGGCACCTTGGATCATGTCCTTATATTCTTGGATGGTGTTTTCTAGAATGGGGGCACAGATATCCCCCTTACCCATTCCTTTCTAGAGATATCAACCTGTCCCATCCCATTGCTGGGAAGGGACCTTGTAGCCCAAATAGGAGCCTTTATTTCTTTTGCTCCCCACATCTGCTTGACCCCAGGCTCACCAGCCGTTCTGTTCCCCTTCCCCAAACCACACAATCTGACACACTTCTGCCGTTACCAACCTCTCAGGTAGATCCTCAGCTATGGGACACTGACAACCCCGCTCACCAAATATCACACCCCTCTCATCATTTGACTACAAAACCCCACCAAATATATAACCAAGGCTCAATACCCACTTTCACTCCAAAGTCTCATCTTTAACCTCCTAAGAAAGAATATTCTGAGCCCCACTTCTTCCCCTTTTAGTACCCCCATACTTGCAGTTAAAAAACCCAATAGAGCCTACCACCTGGTCCAGGATCTCCAGCTTATCAACTCAGCAGTAGTTGCCCTTCATCCTTAAACTCTCCTCTCCACCATTCCCTCAGAAACCTCTCATTGCTCTGCCAGTGACCTCAAGGATGCCTTCTTTTCTAGTCCTCTGGACCCCCAGTCACAGAATGTCTTTGCCTTTACTTGTACTGAGCCCCCCCAACCCATTTATACCTGGACAGTCCTATTTCCAAGGGAAATAACCGAACTGATAATGCAGCTAGAGTTTCGACTCTCAGGGGCCTGGGTCCCCCTCACACGCCACAAGGCACTCTCATTTTACAGCCCATGCCTCCATCACCACCTCCAGATACCCAACAAATTTTATGCTATCTGCACCAGATCTTTCACCCTAATAGTCAGGCTTTGTCCCATTTTATTTAAACTTATTTACAGCCTATCTCTGAGGATCTATCCTATCTAAAGACTATCACTGTTTCTTATAAAATTTGTCAATTCTAATTCTACCTCTACCTCTGGGCATCAGCGTCTCCCTTTCCCCACTCGTCAAGCCAGGGGCTCCCTCCCTGGATCAGACGGGCAGCTCAAGTCGACTTCTCCCACGAACCTACATTTTAATGCTTCCGATCCCTTTTTTTTTTCCTAGTGGATACTTTCTCAGGATGGGTAGAAGCTTCTCTCACCACTAATAACAGATCACAGTTTCTGACCTCCTTTTTAGGAAGATCATCTCCCGTTTCAGAGTTCCAACGTCCCTTCAATTAGATAATGACTCTGAGTTTACCTTTCAAATTCTGAAATCTTTAACCAGAGCCCTTAACATCCCATGGCATTTCCATATCCCCAGCCATCCCCAGTCTTCAGACAAAGTTAAACAAACTAATTGTTCTCTCAAAAATATCCTTATCAAACTCCCAAGAACTTCCTTCACACAGATTGGATAAAACTCCTGCCATTGGCTCTCCTGCGACTAAGAGTGCTTTCAAAGAAGCCCCCATCTCCCCTTTTGAGCTCTTGTATGGACGGTCAGTTATGCCTCCTGGCCTCGAGTCTCAGTTGTCCCCCGATCACCTTCCTGCCCCCTGTTACACTATCTTCACACTCTTCTTTGGAACTTTACCTACCATCATCTGCCTCAGCCCCATCCTAATCCCTTTCCCTCTCCAAATCAACCCAGGAGACTTAGTTCTCCTATAGTTGGTTACAAAAAGGAGGTACTTATTCCTATAACACCTAAATCCATTTCTGAAACACCTACCCCCTATGCTTGTTTGCTCTATGATCAGACCAGAGATTACTGTGAATGCTGGCCAAAACTTATGGAGGTTGCCCTTATTGGTCCTGTAAGAGACACAACACATATTCAGGAACGCACTCTACCTTTTACGCAGAATGGGGAATTTTTTATATTCTGATTAAAGGCACATGGCACCCCAGATGGGAGACAGGGGCCATTGGTAGACTTTACTATAGCAAAGACTTTATTACAGCTGCCCATCAGGCACGCTCAAAATACAGAGGGTACACATCCCACTTTCTCAAACCCTAGGTATAGACACAGTAGAAGAAGTTGTCCAAAGCTCCTCAAAGGTTCTTACTTCCCCAATGTCACCCCTTTTTGATGATACTGATCCTGCCTCCCTGTCATACCATCTCTTGTTTCAAACTTTTTTTTTTCCTAGACAGGGTTTCTCTGTGGCTTTGGAGGCTGTCCTGGAACCAGGCTGGTCTTAGAGAT